ATGCCTGTCTTTTGTTTGGCTGGAAGCCACAAGTGGGGGCTCAATTCCAGACCTGAAGGGCAAGCAGCTAGGGGCCACAGTCTCAGGGGTTCTACCAGGCTCTATCAGACCAGCAAACCTGGTCCCCCTTTTATTTTATTTTTTGCCCCCAAATGATTTTGAGTTTGGTTCCACATTGTCCTCTCTCTCTATCCAGGATCTCCTACATAGATCCCCCTCTCAGTGGTTGACAGTAGTAGCCGGGCACCATCTAGTTCTTCTGTCTCATAGTCGTATAGGCTGCATATCACATGGTTAACCAGTCGCTAGGACTAATTGTTTCCATGCGTCTTTGGTTTTCTTCATTCTTCTTTGCTCTGGACGAGGAGAGACTCATCGTTGCATCTAGATGGCTACTAGCAAACTTTCAAAACCCCAGTTGCTACTCACCAAAATAGAAGGTGGAACAACGGTATTTTCAACAGTGGTGCAGGTATTTTTGTGTCTGAAAAGGTGTAATTTCCTCCCACCTGATCAAACATTTGCTATACTGGCATTATAGTTTCTTTAAACCCACAAGGAAAACTCCTACCATAACACAGTGTAGCCTACCAGAAGGATCTTGAGGGTGTTCCTCAAACTGAATGAGATCAGCAGATTGGCGGACGACAGGATCTGGTCTCAGCTGAGGGGATGGCAAACAAGAAGGGACGGGCTCACACAAGAGGTCGACAGGAGAGCTGCTGGTCAGGTGCAGAAGCTCCTGCTCCGTCTGACTGGGACCTGGGCACAGAAGGCAGCTCAGACTCTGATTGGAACAACAGTTTACCACAAGAGGAAATACTGAGTTTGCATCTGAAGTTTTCTAAGTCTTAATAATTGAAAAGGTCAACAAGACCTTAATAACGTTAAGAGTGAAATAAGTCATTCACAGAAGGATAAATATTGTATGATCTCACGTATGATATCAAGAACAAGCAAATGCACAGAGACCACAGTTGACATCGATGGGAGGGAAGGGGAATTACTATGTAAGGGGCACTGAGTTTCTACTAATGGTGAGGGAATAATCTGGAAACAGGTAGTAGTGATGGTTGCAAATGAGCATAATTAATGTCACTGAATTATACATAAATACAAAAAGGAAGAAATGGCAAATTCTAGTTAAATATGTTTTTACCACAATTTTTAAAAATGTCAGGAATACTGAATTGTTTAAAATAAAAAAAAATTCCATTAACAGAAAGACCTGGGAAATTCTGCCACCAGCTAATATCTCCTAATTTGTGTTTTCAGAAATACCAGTCCTTCAAGAAGCCTTGACTGAGATAAAAGGGTTCCATAGTCAGCTTCCAAAGTAGGAAAGAAAAAAGCCAGAAGTATAAAGTGGTAAATCCAGCAAAGCTCAGAATCAGAAGACTTGGAGCCTGGTTCCATTACTTCATAGTTGTGAAACCTTAGGTAGCTATATAACCTACTAGAACTTTAATCCTCCTTTATAGACTGGAGATGATTACTGCTTGAGGTTGTATTTACGCAAGAGTGCTGAAAAAGATGATTCATATTAAGAAGATTTATGATGTGACTTCCAGTAAGACAGTGGAATAGGCAGACAAGCTACACAGACCCTCTTCAACAAAGAAAAGAGAAACCAATTGACAGAGATACAGAAGATAAACCTGGAGCCCTAAGCTTAGAAAGGAAGTATACAGAAGTGGATTGGGCAGCACTTAGTGGAAAAACCTGAATGAAAACAGGACCAAAGAATAGGCTCCATTTGCCAAGGATGTCAGGGATATACAACAGGCTGACAACAGGAAAGGAAACAGGTATGTAAGTGTTCCCAACTAGCAAACAGAGGAGCATAGTACCCTTCTTATGTACTTTATATCCAAAGAAAACAAAAACCATAGGCAACTCACTCCATCGTATAATCACCAATTAAATATAAACACAAAAACATCACAATGTCTTAGAGACAACAGAGCATCACATTCCACACAAAGAAGCAAGATAATGGAAGAGAAACAAGGGACCAGAATACACATCCCTGAGGAAGAAGCAGCACTGGAACTCCCTGATAAGGAAATCAAAAGAATTATATTTGGGTACCTTCAACAAATTGAGAGATCAATCAAGGAAAACACTGACAAAATTGAGGAAAGCACGGCGAAAACCCTAGAAAAATTTTGAAAGACAGACAATACAAGAACAAAATGACAAAATATATGAAATATTAGAAATGATAGAAAATCTACAGATAGAAATCCAGAAGATTAACACCAAATGTTCAGAAATAGATAACACATTGAATGGTCAAAAAGTAGAAGACAGAATTAATGAGACTGAAGACAAATACCTCAATACTTCTTTGAAAAAGGGTCAGTCAGAAAAAAGATCAAAACTAAATGAAGAAACCCTAAGGTTCAAGTTGAATACCATCAAAATGAGTAACTGATGTGTAATCAGAATTCCAGAACAGGAAGAGAAAAATAAAACCACTCAGAAAATTGTCGAAGATTTGTTTGAAGAGCATTTCCCTGGTATGAAGAAAGATGACAATATATTCATTCAAAAAACCCAATGAACCCCAAACAGGACAGACCCCAAAAGAAAATCACCAAGACGTACATATCATTATCAAACTCACCAAAACCAAAGACAAAGAAAGAATCCTGAAAGCAGATGGGAAAAATGAAAAGTTACCTACATGGTGCAATCAATAGAACTAAGCTTGTATTTCTCTGCAGAAACCATGCAGGCAAGAAGACAATGGGATGGCATATATAAAACCCAAAAAGAAATCATTTCCAACCAAGATTATATACCCAGCATAACTGTCCCTCAAATATGATGGTGAAATTAGGACATTTCCAGATAAGCAGAAATTAAGGGAATTTGTTAAGACCAGAGCAACGTTACTAGAGATACTAAAAGGAGTCCTTTGGACTGAGAACCAACAGCAAACAACAAGCAACTATAAACACACATGATGACACAACCCAGAAACCAACCCACTTGTGCAAGTATCCAAAGTAAATAAGCCTATAAGATTGTAAACAGGGAACCAGAGACATCAAATGACAAATGAGGACAACTACAAACCAAAAAGAAGGAAAAAACTAGTTAAAGAACTTCTAAATGGTAGAGAAGTCAAGACAACTTCGAGACAGAACAGACTTCTAAACCTGAGAAGAAAATTATAAATCAAAGAAAAATAAATATTCATATCAAAATAAAAAAGAGGACAAGCACAAATATTTAGCAAATACTAAAACAGCAGCACTGGTAGCATAGTGCCTAAGGCACTTGACTGCTAACCAGAAGGCTGGTGGTTCAAACCCACCAGCCACTCCTTTGGAAGGAAGGTTGGGGAATCTACTTCCGTAGTGATACTGCCTCAGAAACCCAAGGAGGGGTTGCCATCATTTGAGTCTGACTTGAAGGCACACAACAACAACAACAACAAAACAACAGCAATGAAGGAAATAATAACACAATTCATAAACAAAATGAGCTCAGCACAGAAAATTATATGGAACAAAGAAATCAGCAACACCACAAAAAAAGCATCTAACAAAACGATAGCAACAAATCCATACTTGTCGATAATTACACTGAATATCAATGGATTAAATGCACCACTCAAGAGACGAAGAGTTGAAGACTATATAAGAAAATATAACCCACTGTGGTACTTAAGTCTGTGTGTCAACTTGGCTGGGCCTGGTTGAGTAGCTGGGCAGCTGGATGTAGTACTTCCCATGATGAGACTGGTAATCAACTCCATGGTAGAATCTACTGTGAGCAGCTGAATAGCTGCCTTAGGGATGTGGTCTACTTCCTGAATACAAGGAGAAGCCTTGGAGAACAGTCACTAGCTTAAGGCATGCTGGAATCCTGCATGTAGCCATGTCATTGTTCAGCAGCCTGCCATGTTCTGCCAACCTTGGGATTTTCAAGGGACTTGAATTAATGGCCTGTCATGCAGTTTGGTAACATCGGGACTGTCCCTTTTTAGTTGTCAACCTTGGGCTTGTCAGCCTCAGCAGCCAGCAGCTGTCTGAGTGAAGAAAAGCCTCTAGCTTCAGTGGGCCGGGAGCAGAAGGCAGAGCTGAAGCCCAAGGTTGAGGGGCTTTCACCCAGTCCCTGGAGCCTGGCACTTTGAACTCGGACTTAAAGCCTCCAAACTGTGAGAGAATAAACTCGTTTGTTCAAACATCCCATTTGTGGTATACTGTTGTCAGAGCAGCTCGAGGTAACCAAAACACCCATCAACATGCTATCTACAAGAGACACACCTTAGAGACAAAGACAAAAATAGACTAAAGATCAAACGTTGGAAATAGATATATTAAACAAATGGCAGCCATAAAAGAGCAGGACTCGCAATATTAATTTCTAATAAAACTGACTTTAAGACAAAAACCACCATAAGAAACAAGGAAAGACATTATATAATGATTAAAGGATCAATTGAACAAGAAGACATAATAATAAATATTTATGTACCCAATAAAAGAGCCCCAAAATAAATAAACCAGACTCTAACAGAACTGAAAAGACAAAAAGATGACTCCACAGTCATAGAAGGAGACTTTAATACACCACTTTCAATCACAGATAGAACAACTGGAAAGAATCTCAACAAAGACACAGAAGAACTAAACAATACAATCCACCCACTTGACCTTACAGACATCTACAGAGCACTTCACCCAACAGCACAATATACATTCTTTTCCAGTGCACATGGAACATTCTCCAAGATAGACCACATGTTAGGCCACAAAGCAAGCCCCAATAAATTTAAAAACATTGAAATACCGCAAAGCATCTTCTCAGATCACAATGCTGTAAAATTAGAAATCAACAATAGGAAGATGAACGGAAAAAGAGGAAACACATAGAAACTGAGTAACACCCTCTTTGAGAATGACTGGGTAATAGAAGAAATCAAAAATGAAATGAAAAAATTCCTTGAATCAAACAAGAATGAAACCACAACATACCAAGATCTGTGGAACACACCAAAAACAATGATCAGAGGCCAATTTATAGCAATAAATGCACACACTAAAAAAGAAGAAAGAGCAAAAATCAACAGCTTAACCCAACATCTCCAACAATTAGAAAAAGCAGCCAAAAAAAAAAAAAAGCCTACAGTCACCAGAAGGAAGGAAATAATAAAGATCTGAGCAGGAATCAATGAAACAGAAAATAGAAAGACAATAGAAAAAAACTCAACAAGACTAGAAATTGGTTCCTTGAAAAGATTAATAAAATTGACAAACTACTGGCAAATTTAAAAAGGAAAAGAGGGAGAGAATACAACTAACACAAATAAGAGATGCACTGGGTGACATCACAACAGAACCAACAAAAATTAAAAGGATAATATCAGAATACTATGAAGCATTATACTCCAACAAATTCAAATATCTAGAAGAAATGAACAGATTTCTAGAAACATACTAATTACCTAAACTACCAGAGGCTGAGGTGGAAAATTTAAACAGATCCATGACAGAAGAAAATGAATAGGTTGTTAAAAAAAAAAAAAAAAAAATTTATGAACAACAAAAAAAGTCCTGGCCCAGATGGTTTCACTGGTAAATTCTACTGAATGTTCAGAGAAGAACTAACCACAATCCTACTCACACTATTCCAGAACACAGAAAAGGATGGAATCCTCCCAAATTCATTTTATGAAGCAAAACCAGGCAAAGACATCACTAAAGAGGAAAACTACAGACCAATATCCCTCATGAATATAGATGCAA